ATACAAGAAAAAACTATATCAACAGATACTACAGTGTGATTCCAATTGACAAGAGATCATAGGATGTGATACTATGTCATTAATGTCAGCTTTTAATCAAGAAGAATCATCATCACCAGAATTCTCAATAGTAAGTTTAAAAATTTTATTCCAAGGAGCATCATGGAGAAAATCACAAAATGAATCCCAATGATTGTGCTGGTAATAGAAAGAAGTCTAGTTAATAGGACATTCCTGTTTAATAGATTACATGAAAAATATATCCACAGATACTACGGTGATCCCAGTTGACAAGAGGTAAGAGTTGTGATGCTCGACAATAGCCAGGTGAGTATCTAAGAAACAAATGAAGAAGCATTTTGATTACTATAGTGGTTGCTGTGTAATCTATATAATACATACTTTGTTTATTATTTTTAAAATAAAAAAAATGATAATCCTTAAATAAATATTTTATCAACAGATTTAACATGTCTATTCTTTTTTTATTGCAATTTTATCCATTGTCGTTATGGTGCATTTGATTTCTGTACAATATGTAGATGGTATTATTGTTAATCTTACTCAGGTTTATATTAAAATTATTGTTGTTGACAAAGTCTAATTTGTCAATAAATAATTAGGGAAAACTGTTGTTAATAGGTATTTGTTTTATTTTACTCAATTCCTAAAGAAAAATTGTTTTGCATGAGCAGATTTAGCTTTATTGATTAAATTGTTAATAACACCAATTTTATGTCTTTCAGATTTACTTTAGGAGGTAAGAAGTGAAACTGGATGACATTTTATATGAGAAAGCAGTAACATTATGACTATTATAATCAATAAGTACATCTAGAAAGAAATTCTTTTATTAAAAATTAAAATTTAACAGAATTTTTCTCAAAATCTTCTTTAAGTTCTAAGTTTCATTTTTTAATGAAACATCTATATATGTTACTCAATATTGGGTATTTAATCCATTGGATATTTTGAATGTATGTATGTATATATATATATATATATATATATATATATATATATATATATATATATATATGTTGAACATAAACAAATGACATCATTTACATTAAGATACGCTTTGAGCAGATATGAGTGTTTGAGAGAAATTTGTTGTTTAAAAAAAAATGTAATTTGACTTTACTAACCACACTTCCTCTGTAGTTAAATTATATATATATATATATATATATATATATATATATATATATATGTGTGTGTGTGTGTATAGAAGGAATGTGAAAGGGGTTAAATGAATATGATTTGAAAAAAAATTAATACAAATTATGGTTTAAACATTGTTAGCTTATTTGAAATTGTTTATTTTGTCCATATTTTTATAGAATATAAACATTTTGGTTGTGGTACCATCATTTGCACTTAAATAAGATTATCTGGTATAATGAGTAATCAAAAGAAAATGTTATGCCAAGTCTGTGCAAACCTTATCATTGCATTTTGCATAATTATGCAGAAGATAGTTATAAGAAATGGTTATAGAAGGAAAATGTCAACTAAGCAAATAGTGACTTGATTTTGAAACCCTTAAATTAAATACAATTTCAAAATATACTTGTTCTTGTATCTGTAGGCTAATCTTATTAATGATGATATAACAAATTTGAAAAAAAAATTAACAGAGAGATCATTCTGAAGTTCAGCTCTAGCATTCATAATCTTACACTCTTCCAGTGATCCTAATATGGACATATGTCTAACTGTATGTTTTGGAAAGCTAAAGAAGGTTTGTTGACTAACAAATTTAACCAATTTTATATACATATAATTTTTTAAGTTAACTTTTGGGAGGAATACTAATAACAGGATTGAAAGCACTCTTTCTACAACAGAAACTGAGTTGATACAAAGAAATCAGTCTTCCATGTAAAATTTCAATTAAAGCCTTAAGCATAAAAAAATCTAGTCAAGTTATGGTAATATATTGCTTAACAATCCAGATTATTAATCACGAGCTACTACAGTGAATTATTTAAAGGCTGAGAGAATGAAATAAAAGAAACATCAAAGGAGAGAGAGAGAGAGAGAGAGAGAGATAATTCAAGAAACCGAAACGTACAGAAGAAGCGTAATGATACAGAACTAAAAATGAGAAACAAAATATTGAATCTAAAAATAAATCTAATTTTAAAAATTGTTAAGTTCCAATAATGAAAAGGAAAACTGCCTTTGTCTTTTTGTCTTAAAAGCAAGAATTGTCCAATTTTATTAAATTTTTACTTTGTCACTACACTGTATTTAAATGAAATTAAATTAAAATAAAAAGTAAGATGGGAGGGACCAATTTCTTGTTACTTAATGACAATAATGAATATGTATGCATGCAGTACAGCTATGTGGTGTAGAAATCATGAGATCACAAAATAGCGGGAAATGAAAAAAGGTGAATGTTAAAGTTAAATATTGTTAAAGAATAAAAAATAACAGATTCGGGACTCACTCGCGGCATTTAGAAACTGAAAGAAAGAAAAAAGACTGAAAAAGGAGGAGGGATTAAAAAAGTAATAAAATAACATAGGTCTGAAAACGAATAGAACTGAAAGGAAAAGGAGAAATTTGGAAATAGATGAATTTAAATAAATATCGAGTCTTAATTAATAATGCGTGAAAAAAATGAGATGAAAGAAAAAACGTAAAGTAAAAGAATGGGAAGTAAAAATCTAACAAAATAGAAGGGCGAGTGGAAAAAAGAAAGAGCGAGCGAAGTAAGAAATAAAGAGAAAAAGAGTGAGCTCGGGAAAGTAATGTGAAGAAAGCTGCAAAACCGGCCCTTCTAAGAAGTGCAGCCATTGAAACCAACAGCATAAAAAAAAATAAAATAAAAAAAGCAGTTTTCTTTCTCTTCGTCTCTAGTTTTTTCTCACTTGTTTAGCACCAGAAATACTATTAGTAATTTACTTAGTAAATAAAATTATATTACTGTAATTACATATCGGTTTCTAACGACACTTTTGAAAAAATATTTTTATACAACTACACTACAGTGAGTCACCATATTTTCACAGTTACAAGCCTAGTACTGTTACACAGCATAACTGTTTTGCTTTGATCTTATTCTACTACATTGAAGTATTCAAGGTTCAACAACAGTAGTGGGTGGTCAAATGAAACATTCATTCATTTTTGGTTTAAAAATAAAATTTAATGGAAATAAACAAAACTACTAAAAAGGCTAGAAATTATTGTTAGGATTACAAAAAAAAAAAAAAAATGAAATCTCTAACCCCAACAGTTAAATTTAAAACTCAAATTCTGCTATCGATAAAAATAAAATTCAGCCGTTGTCACATCTGTTCAGTTACTACGACAACAAATGTGGAATGATTACACGTCTATCGAGAAAAAGAAAGTGGTTCAGTTCAGGTTGTTACTGAAACAGTGAAACTATTATTACCACTCAACACTAAATTATTATTACTTTACTAAACTTACTATATTCGTGTGACAAGTCAATCATATCTGTAAGTAGTGTAAACTAAACCGTCCACACCTTTAAATGACATTTATTCGATAATTTATATTTTATAGTCTGTATTTGGCATATTTGATTATTTGAATTATGTCAAGAGAAACTCGAAAAAAAAAGTCAATCAATTGTATCTTTTTAAGAATTCAGATTATTATCAGAACAAAACAGATGCAGATGAGATGTGCCTAAATGGCCACACATACCAGTGATATTGATGGCAATAAATTGCACTTAGGAGAAATTAAATATCACACTTTAAGAAAAATACATTTATTGAAAATTTAAAATTGGTCTCTAATCCAGATGATCATCTAGCTCTATTTTTTTTTTAATAAAATAAAGGAAGAATGGAAAATTTGTATTACTAACTAACGGTTTTTTTTTTCTTAGTTTTTATTTTGTTTATTCATAAGCATTACTTTTTAAATCACGACGATTGTAATAAACTACAGGTTGCCACTGCAATGAATGATAATGACAGTCTGCTATTTACCCTCTGACTCAGTCAGTAATTTATTTATTAACAGTGTTAATTTAACACTGTTAATAATTCAATTACACTTCTTTGTAATATAATCAATAACACTGGGACTACTTTTTTTGTTTCACTATCTTTTCCATTGCTATTTAAAATTATTACCTAACGCTTTAGCCACGACGATTATTATTATTTTATTATTATTATTATTTTTAGCTGCACCTGTTTTAGTTTACTTACAATTGAAAAATTAAATGATGGTGTCGTGCCCGCGTGGAGTAAAAAGTATATTTTATAATAATTGTGAGTTATCTGCTAAGAGTAGTTTATGGAAAAATAAATTTTAAAAATAATAAAAGGTAATTTAAGATGGTTGCTTAAGTTAAAAAAAAAGTCGTTATTTTTCAAGCAATCATAAGTAAAACTAAAAAAGATTACTTTTTTTTACACTACAGGAACTGTAATTTTATAGAATATCAATAAATTTGCTATACTAAGAAAATTGAACTCGAACTCTTGCAAATCATAAAATGTGCTACAAATTGAATTTCAAGAATAAAGAAAGATTGTATCCGCTGCGAAACATTTTATTTTTATTAAAAAAAATTAAAACTTTTTAGTTTTTTTTTAATGTTTATTTCTAATGGCATTTTTAACGTTATCATTTTTGTAGTGGTGGGGAATAAACATTTCATCTTTTCTTAAATTGACAGTTCCATCATAAAAGTAAAACTCTCTAAAACATATTTTAATTTGGTACCTCAAGTGTGAGTTTTTTTAGTTTTTTACTTAATTACAATACCGGTTTTTTGATGTTTTTCGTTTCTGTATTTTTAAAAGGACTAAGTTCTGTTATAAAAACAGCTTTAAATTACTTATCATGTCAGAACTTAACTATTGATTGAGACCAGGCCAGTATTATCAAACAAATTTATGACTCAAACAGTTACGTACGATTAATTACTTTTGTTGTTTTTTTTTTTTTCGTTTTTTGTACCCGGCCTTTCCACCAAGCTTAACGGCAACGCATAACTGATGTTTCTTCTTTACTTTCTTCGTAAACCACGAATGTTATTTTAATTTCTTTATTAAAATTTTTATTCTATAGCCAACTGTTTTACTTTTAGTATCGCAAATATTTAATTTTTTCTTGATACAGCTCCTTAATACTAAAATTGAAAAAAAACAAACTCAAGCTTTCTTTTTTACCACTCAAGATCGTCACATTAAAATTTATTTTAAAGTTGTTTTATTTTAAATAATACGCACACTAATGTTCTTTTTAAAGTCTTTTTAAATAGAATTTTTTGTCTGCACAGAAGTTCGCTAACGAAACATCGTCGTAACTACAATTTTTCGTTACTATTTCTTTTTTGTTTTACAACTACTAAAAACATTATCATCTCAAGCACTACAACGAACTAAAAATGCTACTCACTGAGTGTTTCAGTTTTTCTACTAACAACAGAAACTACCATGCTATGGCTATTGCCATTAGCTACCTCTTCTTACCTGTTTTTAGCACACAACCTAATATTTTATTTTTAATTATAAAATTTGCTATTGTTTAATTTTAAAAACTATTTGACAATAGTAAATTTTCTAAAATTGTTTTCATCGCATACTTGTAAAATTTGCAATAACATTACCCTTCTTAACTATCTTTGTTACCATTCATTAAACTATTACTACTGTCATTCTAGTGAGGTTACTGCAATTTGAACAGTGCTTGTTTATCATCATCATCATCGTCGTTGTCGTCGACCTGATCAATAGAATAGCAGCAGTAATCACAACAACAACAGTAAAGAGAGGAAAATAAGAAAAAGCAGCAGGCAACGAATAACGAAATTACTTTTTATTGGAGCGGCTAGCAGCAGCTGCTGCAGCTTGCCAAAGTTTTGTTTGGGAGAAAAAAAACAAAAACAAACTCTACCAAAAGCATATTTCATTGTATCAATTTTTGAAGTGTTTGAGTTTTTTTACTCCTTCAGTTTTTGACATCTTGAGAAATTCCAAAAAATTGGAAATAAGACGAAAAAAAGCCGGCAACGTCCACAGTTTTGAACGTGAAGAAAAATTTCCCATATCTTATTTTTTTATCCAGAATCTTTGTGTTGTGGAAAACCTCAAGTAAGTCTTTTGCTTGTTTTTTGACATAATTTTTTTATTGTTACAAAAGCTTCACCACCACCTCCGAAAAAAGTAACCAAAGTATTAAACAAATGTATGTGTGTATATAAATAGATTTTTTTTTAGTCTGATGCTTTTCTTTCTTTTAATAAATATTCAAGGATTATTATTCTAGATAATGTTTAAAAAAATCAATTATGCAAAAAAACAAAAAAAAATTCACAAAAATCATTTTTCTTTTTTTCTTCAAAATATTTCCTAATCAGAAATATTCCTCTTTAATTGGAGGAAAACTATAAACTCATTTTTCAATCATTAAAAAATAGATGTCATAAAAAAAATTAGTCTCTGTTGTAAATTTAATTCAAAAGCAAAAATTTCAAATTTATGGTAGCTTTTCAAAAGCTAGCTTTTCGATATGAAAACCTAGATTTTTTTTTTTTTTTACAGACGTCTAATTAAAACTACAAGAAGAAGAAAGTGTATTCATTTAATTACATAATCTTTCTTTTGCCTGTTTTCTTTGATTATCATCGCTTCCTTTGTTCAATTTTATGATGCGAGACGGAGTCAGGATTAATTAAATGAAATGAAAGAAGACGTCATCGGCTTTGTTCTTCCATCGTCGAAGCAAGATACACGAGGAATAAAGAAAAAGAAACGATAAAAATCTGATTTAAAAAGAAAACATCCAATCGTTTAATTCTAGTTTGACTTGTTTATCCATGTATGAGTCATTTAATTTTATTTGTATATTTAAGAATAGATCACTAATAACAGAATTTAACAATAATTGTTAAATAAATAAAAGTAAAAACATAATTATTGAATATATTGATTAATAATAAATTTCCTGTATAAATAAACTCATTCTGTAAATTGTTCCCTACAAGTTCCTTTTCCGATGATTGCTAGCAATGTTTTAACCATAAATTCCTACCTCGAAGAAATACTTTGGCATACATTTTTAATTACTATCTTCTTATGCAATGATCTGCAAAGGTTTTTTTTAAACAAATATCGTGAATAGTTTTTTCCCTGGAATTTTCATTTCGTATTAAAAAAGTTATTTCCGCGATTATGGAAACAAAATTATAATACAAGAAGTTTTAAATTACGATCACCAGTAAATGAAAGTAGTAGACACGCACAATTTTCCTTTGCACAAAAAAACGGATTTTACAATTATGGTGTTATGACTGTTACGCCAATTGAACCATTTTTGCATATAAATTTATTTAGCCGCATTTTCATTCCCACCTCTTGTATGTCTATCTCATTATTATTCTCGATTATTTACGATTCCTCTTTTTCATTTATGTTTTCGACATCTCTTCCTTTTTAAATTTTCACAAATACATGTATCTCTCCTCACACCTGTCTCTTCTGACACTTTTTGCATATTCGTCACGTAGGCACCGCATGTGCTTGCATTTTGTTACGTATGTGCAAAAAATTCAATAATTACACTACTTTCATTCTGCACATATTTGTAAATTGAATTTGACATTACATAAATGTTTTTTAAACAATTACAACAAAAAAATTAATTAAAAGTTGAACTGTCTGTATATATTTTTTTTAAATTTGATTGATGTATCAACATTTTAAATTCACGACACGGACAATTTATTTTCTTATAGTTTTTTTGCGGCTTTGCCGTTATGTTTGATAATTTGTTTGCAAATGGTAAAAAAAATACTTTTTTTCATTTTTAAGAAAAGTTTTTTTCTTTTCTTTTCTTTCGATTGTTACTGCCGATAGCGACCGTACTTGTTTATTTTTCCTTGGGAATTTTAAAGTTCATTTTAACTTTTTAAGATAAATCGAACTTTTTTGCACTGGGCCTTTGAAAAAAGTAGTCATTTGTTTTACATTGCGAACCTCTTTCTTTTTATTCTGTATTTAGGAAGTATTTCTCTTGGTGTTTGTTTCCTTGAGAGGATTCATTCGCATCCACGAAACTATTAAAATTTAATTCATTTATGATTTATGAAATCTTTTTTAACCTAAAGGGAAAACTATCTGCTCATTTATTCTTGCTGCTGTAAAATTCAGTTGATACACCCACATAGGTGTTTTTACAAAGCAATGAACTGAGAACCAGGGTTAAAGACAATACCTCTCTTTTTTTTATTTTCTTTGAAAATTTATTTAATTTGTAACTTGTTATAAATGGGTAGTTTTATTCATTTACTTTTTTAGAAAAAAAATCTAAACCGATAGTTTAGGGGAAAAAGTCCTTTTTGCTTTGAATGATAATTTTAAGTTCCAGTCTTATGCCGCTGAAATATTTATTTCATTTCCACAAAAGAGTTATTTTTTAAAAAGCTTTCAAACACTAACATTTTTGAATCCTCAATCAATGTTACAACTGTGTAAGTGATGTTATCACACGGTTTTCTGTTTTAAATAAACTTTAGTTTTTAAATTGTGCCTAAGACCAGTCAATTTGAGCAAAACCGCCTAAAAGCGTAACCTACTCATAAGGCTATCGACGGATTCAAATTTCTATGGTTTTTATTTTAGTCTGATATTTCTGTAGATGTGATATATATTCTAACAGTTTTTTTTCAGTTTTTTTTACTCCTATACCCAACCCTCTTTCTCTCTCTCATATATTAACGTTGCAAATGATTTTTATATATAAAACACTTGCTTATCTCCCTTACATCGGATTCAAAATTGAACTAAATTCCAATTAAGGACCTTCCTTTTGATATAAAAAGTCAAGCATTCAAAATAAAACGAAAAATAAATGAATTTTTTCAAAAACTATTTTGCTGATTTAATTCAACATTTTTCAATCACAGAACTTGAAAAACAAATGAATAGCTTTATTTCCAAATCCATGTTTTTTTTTTTTTTCATCAGATTAATTTTTTTTTTTTTTTAAGTCTGACTTTCCTCATCTAAGAAACCATTCTGGTGGGTCCCAAAACGAAAATTGAATTTTCCCGATGCTCGTTGCTAAAATAGCCACACAAACACTAATTGTCAATGAAATGCTTTAAAAAAAAGACAATTTTTTTTTGTGCAATATGGTATTTACTGTGTAACACTTACAGAAACTCAGCATTACTTCCTGTGATGTGAGTGATGCATGTATGAAAGAGAAGAAGCAAGATGGGATGGGATAGATTAGTGATTAAAGCATAACGTCAAAGGTTCAACTTGCTTTTTTCTCTCTTAGCAAATATTCATCTATCCTTCCATGGTGGTGAAATGTTACATGTGTTCCCATCTATATGGGCTGGGCCAAGGACAAAAATTGCTTAGTCTTCACAATCACTGTCATGTCGGTATTGGCACCCACCAGCTCTCCCTCTTTAGTGAAATGAAGGATGTGCTGTCAGATGATTGGAATCCCTGGGACTAGGCTTCCCTAGACAGAAGAGCAGGTAGTATACTTTGATCCTAAACTCATAATGAGTTACATTTAGGAGGTTGATATCCGATGTAAGGGAGATAAATCAATTTTTGTTATACAAAATTGTTTGAAACAATAAAAAAGACTTAATTATAAGGTAAAAAGTCCTTGCCATATTTTATGTCTTGTGGGCAGAAGTAATCACTGATGTACAAATGAGTGCATTACATATCTGGAAAGTAGTACAGGTGTGTTGCACACACGCATCAGTCATAGTTTGAGCAGTGGTAAGGAAACCTGGCAATGTCAAAGCAACTTCTTTGGATTTGTCTGCAGCTGCATCAAATCATCAAATACATCAAGCCTTTGGGGATAATTCTGTGGGCGAATGCACTGCCAGGCATTGGTTCCAGAAGTTCAGGTTGGGAGAGCTATCCCTTTGTGATGAACCCTGCAGTGGCCAGGTACAGGTCCTGGATGATGAGGTTCTGAAGGTGTCCATAATGAGGACAACAACCAAACCTGTGGTGAGCTTTTGCCAAAAACTGTCAGAATTCACCTGCACTGCATATGGAAGACGTTCATGTTGAGTAAGTTGGTACCACACAACCGTCAAAATCCAACAAGTAACAATGTGTGACAGCATGTTTCTTTCTTGTTACTGCAATGTACCCATATTTGACAGTGCTCACCATTAATGAAAAGTGGGTCCTGTATGATACTTCCAAGTGTGCCAGACATCGATTGTCACAATGAGACCCTGTGCCTCACACCACAAAACCACCTCTACACCCATCATGCTCTGTATCTGGTGGGCTAGTCAACAGGTGGTGCACTATGTGCAGTTACCAATAGGAAAAACCATTATTGTGGACATGTACTTGCAGCAGTTGGAATGTGTGTAACAGGCACTGAAGAAGTATGCAGCATTGTTTAATTGCAATGGTGTACTCTTCCTCCATGATAATGCCAGGCCTCATGTGGTGCAGGTGGTCAGTGATACCATATGGCAACTTTGCTGGGAGACACTGTGCCTTCTACCTTACTCCTCAGACTTTGTGCCAACAGATTATCACCTCTTCCATTCTCTGGATGAACTCTTTCATAGGATATCCTTTAGAAATGATGCAGCAGGCACTCACTGACTTTTTTTTTATCCAAGACAGTTGATTTTTTCCTGTGAGGACATTTTGCAGCTGGATGCATGGCAAAAAGTTCTGGATGCTGATAGGGATTACTTTTGCAGATTAATGGTATGTCAGATTTGCTGTATGCCTTTTTTTCTCTGTAATAAATAAAAAACAGCAAGGAATTTTTTCGTTACCTTGTAACCCATATCAGCAAATATAAACAAAAGAGAGACTCAGGGTAGCACAAAATACTTGACATTTTAGCTGAAATTCAAGTATAGTTTCTTTCTCTGTTCTTGGATTTTATTGTTACATTTGTCTCTTCTAATGTGTTTATAATTTATATTAAATTAATTAGTTACCAAATAAGTGACCTAAAAGAAATTCTCACAAGAGCATCTCTGTTTTAATTTTAATTTTTTTTTACTGCAGATTTTAATATAAGTTATGGTTAGTATAAGTTAGTCCCCAGGCTACAACCCCCTTGATTATTATGTGTG